GTCACTTCTTAAATGTAATTTAATTGTAAGTTTACATAAGTCTGTGTTTCGAAAGACTGTGTTTAATAATCGGCTCTCAAAATTCCTGAAAGTGTAACAATCAGTTCTCGTGAGCTGGCCCAAGCAGTGACCCAGGGAAGTAGACAACAGATGAGAAGCCCAAACCCTCCACCCTCATAAGTGTAAACTATGCCTGGCCCTGCGAGCATGGGCTGCAAAACCAAGGCCCTGTGCCGAAGAGGGGTCCTGCTGACTGTCAGATTGTAATAGACAGTGTCTGGTTAATTAAGCAGGTTTTACTGCAGCTAAAACCCTGGGCCTATCTTCTCCCTGATCCCATAAAGCATTCATGGCAGTTCAGTTTTTAACCAATACAGGAGTAATTTGAAATCAATTTCCTCTCTCCTTGATGAACAATGGACTCTTTAGTGTGATCCACAGAGAAAATTAGAAGCCCACGTGTGAGGCAGCTACCTGGAGCCCCAGCTGCAGCGTAGCCGGACGCTTGACTGGTCTCACCGTGAGGACGCTGGTCTCATTTCCCTCTGGAAATGTTTGAACTTCTCTTTTAATTACAAGGGTTAGATGTTTGAACTTCTCTTTTAATTACAAGGGGGCAGGGGGCATATTTTATCCTTCTTGTTCAATAAACACATGTAAGCTATGAATGAGACACTCTGGAAACCCAAGTGAGCAAGACAGGTACAGTCTCAACCCTAATGACTAAGACAGCCAGCCAAAAAGCTAGAAGGTACCCATAGAAATTATTCAAAAAAAAAAAAAAAAAAAGGCTAGAAAAGCCTGAAACAGAAGCCCAAGAAGACTTCCATTAACACAGTCACATAGATACATTCGTCCAATTAGCCAGCTGTGTCTTGCCTAAAGCCACCCACATTGGGAATTCCAGCACTGTTTCCTAACCACTTCATCCTGGACAACTTCAGCATTGGCTGAAGGCTGATAGCAACGCTCTCACAGCGTTGCTGTAAGGTTCAAATGAGACCATGCATGAGAGTGAGTAGTCTGTTCCCTCTGCTCCTTAACTTTCAACTTTACCTCCCTCACATTTCTGTCAGGAGTTCGAGGTCTATTTAAGATAGGTGGCAATCCACCCAACTCCCATCTCCACCAATTCCTGATTTCCATGATTCTTCTTTCCTTTTTACTGACACTTGTCACCTTCTATCATGTTAGTCTGCTCCCCCCCACTAAAATACAAGCTCCATAAAGGCTGGTATTATTTGTCGGTTTTGTCACTTTTCCAAATACCTAAAATAAGGTATGACACATAGGAGGTACTCAATAAATATGAGAGATGGATGGATAAAGAGAAACCAAGAACTCTCATGGAAGAGACTCACTGATCCTTCGACCTCCAACATTGTTTTTGTTTTTGTTGAATAAGTGAACAAAAGAATACACCATGAACACTGATTTGAGCCCATAAATACTGGAGACTACCCAAAGTATATGTTGCAATTTTTCTCTAGTTAATAAAACTCACATCAAATAGCAGAGGCCAACATGCCCGCATTCTACAGTGTTTCAGTGTCTTCCCAAAGTGTGTTCTGGATGAGTTAACTCAACTCAGAAAGGTGGGAGGGAGGCATTAAATAGAAGCCGATACCCTGATTCAGAAAAGCTCTTTTTGTTTTGTTTTGCTGTTTGAGACAAAGTCCCCCTCTGTCACCCAGGCTGGAGTGCCATGGTGCAATCTCAGCTCACTGCAACCTCCGCCTCCAGGGTTCAAGTGATTTTCCCACCTCAGCCTCCCAAGTAGATGGGACTACAGGTGTGTGCCATCACATCTGGCTAATTTTTCCACTTTCTGGTAGAGACAGGGTTATGCCATGTAGGCCAGGCTAGTCTCGAACTCCTGAGCTCAAGTGATCTGCCCGCTTCAACCTCCCAGAGTGCTGGGGTCACAGGCGTGAGCCACCACATGCGGCCCAAAAAAGCTCTTTTAAAAATCTGTTTTATACGCTGAGATTCGAAGTAAGATTTTATTTGCAAAACAGGTTCCACTGCTAAAGGCAGGCTTGAAAATACCCAACTTAAAGACATTTTAAAAAACAAAAACAGGCCTGGTGCAGTGGCTCAAGCCTGTAATCCCAGCACTCTGGGACACCAAGGTAGGAGGACTGCTTGAGCTTAGGAGTTTGAGACCAGCCTTGGCAACACCGGGAAAACCCCATCTCCACTAAAAATAAAAAATGAGCCAGGCATGGTAGTGCACACCTATGGTACCAGCTACTTGGGAGGCTGAGGTGGGAGAATCGCTTGAGCCTGAGAGATTAAGGTTGCAGTGGGCTGTCACTGTGCCGCTGCACTCCAGCCTGGGTGACAGAAAAAGACCCTGTCTCAAAAAAAAAAAAAACGAAAACAAAAATAAAAACCAAAAGAACCAAAACCACATCATCACCAAACTTTAATAAGAAGTTCAAAAGACAAACTAAAATGTTTCATCCAGTCAAAATTACCCTTGACAAATCTCGTGAATCACTCAAAAAGTACAGTTCATGTCTTACGTAATGATACAGTACATGTTTTGTGTAATGTCAACATTTGCCGCCCACTGAGCTTGACTGAAATCAAAGTCTTCATGCAGGTGACTGGGAATTAGATTCACTATGCTTTTCAGTACCCAGAAACGAACAAAAGATGAGTAGAAGATTCTAAAGTGTGCCTGCTTGTCTATGAATTTCATTCTATTTTACACACACACACACACACACACACACATATATATTTGAGACAAGGTCTCACTCTGTCACCCAGGCTGGAGTACAGTGGCTTGCTCTCGGCTCACTGCAACCTCTGCCTCCTGGGCTCAAGTGATTCTCCTGTCTCAGCCTCTTGAGTAGCTGGGACTACAGGTGTACACCACCACACCCAGGTAATTGTTGTATTTTTTGGTAGAAGTGGGGTTTTGCCTAGTTGGCCAGGCTGGTCTCAAACTCCTGGCCTCAAGTGCTCGGCCTGCCTCAGCTTCCCAAAGTGCTGAGATTACAGGCGTGGGCCGCCCTGCCCAGCATTCTATTCTGTTCTATTCTATTATAAAGCCTTAATAACTTTCAGAGACATTAATGCACTTGTTTGCTGTGGTAAAGAATGCATGATCAGCCAGCTGTGGTAATTTACGCCTATTCTCCTAGCGCTTTGGGAAGCCAAGGCATGCAGATCGCTTGAGTACGGGAGTTCAAGACCGGCCTGGGTGACATAGCAAAACCCCGTCTCTACAAAAAAAAAAAAAAAATTAGCTGGGCATGGTGGCGTGCACCTGTAGTCCCAGCTACTTGGGAGCCTAAGTTGGGAGGACTGCTTGAGCCCAGGAAACGGAGATTGCAGTGAACCAAGATCATGCCTCTGTACTGCAGCCTGGACGACAGAGCTAGATTCTGTCTCAAAAAAAAAAAAAAAAAAAAAATGCAGGATATGTGAAAGCACCTAGAAAAAAGTTTCAGTGGCCAAGCACAATGGGTCACGCCTGTAATCTCAACACTTAGGGAAGCCAGGGCAGGCACATCACTTGATGTCAGGAGTTCGAGACCAGTCTTGGCCAACATTGGGAAATCCTGTCTCTACTAAACATACAAAAATTAGCCAGGCGTGGTGATGTACCTGTAATCCCAGCTACTTGGGAGGCTGAGGCAGGAGAATCGCTTGAACCTGGGAGGCGGAGGGTACAGTGAGCTGAGATCGAGTCACTGCACTGCACTCCAGCCTGGGTGACAGGGCAAGATTATAATTAATTAATTAATGGTTTAATGCACAGTAGGTGCTCACTAATTCCAAATCTGTAGGTTGCTTGATGGCAGCCACTCTTAACTAAGATTTTAGAGACACAAAACTAGCTATCTCCCTATCCATCTGTATGTGTTGAATTGAAATCAGGTCACTGCAGATATCATTAATTAAGATGAGGTCATCAGGGTGGGCCTTCTTCCAATACAACTGGTATCCTTACAGCCAGGAGAAACTTGGACGTGGACACACACATCCAGGGAGAACGCCATGTGAACATGAAGGCATTACGTCCATGTGGTGCTTCTGTGGGCCAAAGAATGTCAAAAAACCACCAGAAGCAAGCCACCAGAAGCTAGGAGAGAGGCACAGAACAGATTCTCCCTCATGGCCCTCAGAAGGAACCAAATCCGCCTACACTCTCAGATTTCTGCCCTCCAAAACTATGAAACAATAATACATTGCTGTTGTTAAAGCCACCCAGACTGTTGTATTTCTGTTGTACTTTGTTACAGGGGCCCTAGCAACGAATATACCATCCAAGCTCACATCTTTTCCCGTGGCCCCACTCAACGTCATCCCATCTGAGTTCTTGGGCACTGGTCCCCGACTCTAAGCGGAGTCACACCTTAACTGATGGCCGAGTTTAATGAGCTGTAAGACCTGTCTTACAGCTCTTCACTCTATCATCAAGTAATAAACCCCCAAAATAACAGACAGGATGGGGACAGCACAGGACGCTCAACCTCACATCCTAGTTCAGAGATAAGAAAAGGAATCTCCAGGGTAAAAGGACAGACACTAGCTGCGCTGCCTCACTGAAGCAAGAAAAGCCATTCTTCTCAATTTTTCTACTTTGTTGGCCTACTCCTTTTCTTCCCATGGTGAATAAAAACACCCAAGGGGAAATGCGGACCCATTCATCAACATTCCTAGCCAGACAGTGAGGTGCTTAATGGCTTTATCGATTCCTTGTTTTGCTCTACATTATGTGTTACATTGGCTCAAGCAGTCCATACAAGAAGAATCAAGATGATGTTGGCAAAAAGGCATTATTTCATTTTAAGCTTGTTACCACTGAGACCAGTCAACCCTGAACAGAAGTAGCCGAGTTTCAAAACAAGCATGTTCAAAATTTCTATTCATTCAGTGCCAATGGCTCCTTCTCATAGCCAGTGCCCCTCAGTTTCAAAGCCGTATCTTGGTTGGTAAAGAAAAACAAACTGTGGCAACCACTGTACCCTTTAAGTGGATTCTTCATGCTAGAATAATGTTTCGCTTTGTCTTATACTCCATGACAATAGCTCCAAAATGCTTTAAGAGGATAAATTTCTTATCAGTAAAATGTCCCTAATGACAAGTAACACAAATAACTCTATCCATTTTCACATAAATATCAATACTTAGCAAAAATAAAGTTATTAAATGGCTCACAGAAATCTGGTAAAGAAATACAGGGTCTTCAACATCCTTGCAGATTTACCCATTTTAATAAATTAAAGATGACATAAGCCCACAGCACACAGGAAATTCAAACCAATTTACTGAGTTCAGGACAATGACCTAACACCAAATCCTACATGGTAAAAAGATTAAATCAGACCCTTTAATAAATGGACTTAGATGCCCTAGACAATGTGGGCAGCTGGTGGTATTCTAAGCTAACAAACCAGGGAAAGTAAAACTCAACATTAAATGTTCTATACCATTTATTTCAATCAAATATGCAGTCAGGCCTCCATAACAGCAGGTTCCACATCCTTGAATTCAATCAACAGCCGATCAAAATCCAAGGATCTAGAGGGCCAACGATAAGAGACTTGAGCATCTGCAAATTTTGGTATCCACAGGGAGTCCTAGAATCAATACTGAGCAGATACGGAGGGCGGAAAATACAGTATGGTCTGAATCTGTCGCCCAAAGGTCATGTGCTGGAAACCTGCTCCCCGATTCAGCAGTGTTGGGTGGAGCATAATGGGAGGTGTTTGGTTCACGGGAGCACTACCCTCATGAATGGATTAATGTCATTAAGGAGGGAGTGGGTTTGTTACTGGGAGAGTAAGTTCCTTACGAAAGGACTAGTTTGCCCCTTCCCTACCTCGCCTTCTCTTTGCCTTTCCACAATGGGATGACACAGTGAGAAGACCCTCACCACATGCTGGCTCCTTAATGTTGGACTTCCCAGCCTCCAAAAGCCTGCACTAATAAATTGCTCTTCACTCTAAATACCTAGTCTTAGGTATTCTGTTTGAACAGCACAAAATGGACTAAGACATATGCTACTAAAATGTAGGTTAAGCTGCATAAAAATCTTGAGAAAATTATTCACTTCTAAAAAGTAATTGTGTCTCACTAGGGAATAAGAGTAAAAATAATAATAATAATAAATAAAAACTGAGACTCTAAACTCATATTCATGCAATTGTCATTTGTGTGCATTGTCTTTTCTACTTGTCAAAAAGGAAACAATTACAAACGAGCAAAGAGGAGACTTGGATTCAAACTCACTTCTGCCAGCAACTCACGGTGACTGTGAATGGGCCTCAGACATTCTGAATCTCAGTTTCCTCATCAGGAATGAGAGAAGTGTTACACTAGATAAAAAACAAATAAGCTCGCTTTAAAGCCTCAGAGAGCAAGTGTCTTGCCCTACACTGCCCAGTTATTTGTCAGATACGCTTTAAAGCCTCAGAGAGCAAGTGTCTTGCCCTACACTGCCCAGTTATTTGTCAGATAGAGGTCATGCTATGTGTTTCATATACTGTGCTTCAACAACAACAAATCCATCTGAGTTGAAACAGATTCTGTGTTTTGAAAACCACTAGTGAAATCTGTTTTTTTCCCTCTTGCAAAAAATTCCTGTTGTTTGTGTAAATGAATATGTATGTTGTCTCATACACAGTAAAAGCAATGTGAAACTACTATACAATTCCACTTAATTTAAGCTAAATGTACATATCCACTGTCTTCTTACAATGGAAAACAAGTTGAGACTGTGGGGTTCAAGAATGAGGGGGTGACCACAGATAAAATTTCTACATTAACCTAAGCATTTCACAGATAAGCAACTTTTCAAGAATACTCTGTCCTAAAATATCCTTTGGCCAAAAGTTACTGAAAACTGACTAAGAAGAATACATTTTCCATTTCTAAAACCAAATACAAATTGAGATTGTGCAAATTTGTTTTCAAGATGAATTGTCCTTCTGCCTAAATGGATTTTTGCCTTGAATGTAGGGTATGTATATAAATTACATGAGGTGGTGGAGCTTTCTTTTCAAAAATACCTTCAATTTTTCCAAGTCTTGCTAAAAAACACAATGGTACTAACACTTCAGGCTATAGCTGCTTATTCTTTAAACACTTTGTTTACTGAGAGAAACAAGTATAAAAAGAAATACAACACATAAATTATCTAATCTTTTCCCTTGGAGTGAACACGAGATAGATTTCTTGGCTATTATATGCATCAGTTACCTAAACCTATAAAACCAATAAAAGACTCCAAGACCCCAATCCAGTTTTACGTGTAAATATCAGACAGTCCCACTGAGCTTGACAGATGCTGTGTCTAAATGATATTCCAGCCACTAGCCTGTGAATATAATGTCTTTTCAATTAGGAGAAGGGTCAAGGCCTAGGGCCAAACTACTAAAGTTACCAAAATGAAATTCTCTACCACCTTCTCTTAAGAAGTCACAGGAAATGCCTCCTTTGCCCAGGTTCTGACATCTAGTCCCTTTGTTGGAATTGCAACACTGTTGACCCATCTTGGAGAATATACAAACTTCGAGGACACATTCCCAGCTGTAAGAAGAGACATCTTGGAGTCCCCACAATCTTATTTCAGTCAATTTCAATTAACTTTGAGCAGCTAAGTAACACTATATAATCAGATTTTTCCCCCTTCTGCAAAAGAAGCACACGTTAATACGTACTAGCACCTAGCATAGAAATAAAGGGTTCACCAGCAAACACAGACAATGAAGTTCCTACATTCAGAATACAAAGGGGAAAAAACAAACACATCTTACTTGGTTTTGTCCAGGGAAGTGAGAGATTACTGCTGCTCTCATTATACAGACGCATGCAGCATGTCCAGACAGAAACCAAAAAACGTAGACTATGGTCATCTGCGTGTTTTGACAAAATGACTAACATCTGTAAACAAACAGACCAGTTTTCTCGCTTTTCATCCGGAGAGGAAAAACTTTCATTTTCCCACAAGAGACAAGAAATGGTTAAAAGAGAAAAAAAAATCAGTGCACTAATTGTAACAATTCCCTGTCGATTTCAGACCTTAGCTATGCTTAGATCAGGCCAATTTTATTGTAACATCGTGTTTCTTCCTGTAAACTATTTCCCCAAACACACAGTGCACATTTCTCAGTCACACTTTATTGATAAGAGTCAGGCTTGAAAGCAGAGCTGCCAGATTATTAGTGTAGTATATAAATTACCAACATGCAAAGTGGTGATGGATGTCGGTGCCACTGGCACAACCAACCCAAGGCAGGTTTGAGGCTCAAACCAAGGACCTTGCACAAAATAGACACCTAATAAATATGTGCCAAATGAGTAACATTGTACCTAGCAAACACAAAATATCAGCCCTGGGTGTGCTTCAGCAGAAATAACTGATTGCCTGGAGGAGGTGGTATGCAGAGGGGGTGCTCCTCCAACCTTCTGAAGTTGCTCTTGTCCTCTAAATAGGCAGCATTTGTAATCACCATCTCTCTTCTGCTTGCACTCCCAACGACTAACGGCCACAATTAAGGCCTGACCTACTTTCCTCCAGCCTATCTGCACCTCAGGCACCAAGTCAATTCACACTTGGTCCACTCAGAATGGAAGAAATGCCCATGTAACTAACAACCCACAGCTGCACCCTACACAGGCAGAGATGCAGGGCTCTGCATTGTAATCCACGCGGCACTCTCCTCCCAGACGAGTATTTTCATCCCCTCTTTGTGTTTAAATCCATTTTGGCCCACAGCATTCTGATTAGTCCGTGCTGGGCAGAGGACAGGCTTCCAAATACTTACTCACTCAATCCAAACATTCAGGAACAGGTAGGCTATTCTGTTAAGAACCATGCCTAATATATAGTTTAGATTCTGCTTTCAAAATTGTATTTTTTTTTTCAAAAGTAATTCTAAAAATCAATACACATTCATTACGAGCCACAGTGAACATCCTGAGATGCGTTTTATTTTTTAAACACAGCTGTCCGTCTGCTGCCTACATTGCTTTACCTAGCTCTAAGTGATTAAGGAAAAAAGAGAATTCGTTTGCTGTGATAATACACAGATCTGTGTATCTTTCCAATTGCCTTCAAGGTTGAAAGAAATGAGGTCTTGATGAGTACCAGCTAGCTATTAATTAGATTTAGTAGCAACAAAATATTACTTTTCAAGCACTTTAAAGAACTGAGAACAGCTACAGAGCTCAGCAGAATTTTTCTGGTTTTTCTTTCTTTCTTTTTTTTTTTCTTTTTTTTCCAGTTTTCCTGACCCCCTTTCCTAACTTCTCTCCTCATTAAAAATGCCTCAATCTGAAAGGAAATGAAGAGAACAGGAACAAGAACTGATGAGTAAATGCAAGTGATTATTATAAGAACCTCATTCATCTTCAATTTTTGAAACCCAGTTCATTTTGTTTAGCTAAGAAAAGGAGAACTGTATACACAGCTTGTTTTTAAGGAATAGATTTAAGCCTTTAAAGCAGCAATTCCCACCCATGTAACCACAGTTATTTTGACTGTGCGGAAATCTGGACCATCTTTTGTGTTTTTTGTTTTTTGTTTTTTGTTTTTTCATCTCATTATTTTTACCTCGCTAACAAAGGAAATGCTGATTCCTGGACTTAAAGGAAACTATAGGAACACCTAAAAGCAATTCATCATGGTGGGGCCTCTCTTGACACACACTGCTTTAGGGTTTCAAAGGTGTGTGCCCCGATGGGGGATGGAAGTGCCCAGTGTGTATACAATACAGGGATATGCATGAACAAGAGATGGATGTGGGCCAGGGTTCCCTGATTTGCTCCAGCCCTGCACACATCCCAAATTCCAACGTGCACAGGAATTGCTTCAAGAATCCTGTTAATAACAGATTCTGACCCATGAGATCCCACAGTGGGGCCTAAGAGTTCTATGAGTCAGCATTTCCAACAAGCTTCCAGGTAATGGTGATGCTGCTGACCAGAGCATGATACTCGGAGTGGTAAGACATAGAATCTCCTAGAATACCCTAGGCCCAGTTAGGACCTATATTGTTTTTGCCTGTCCAGTATTTATTCTCTCTAAGGAACCACTTTCAGCACAGCCTCCTGTGGCATACTTAGGTCAAGGATGGGACAATGCCCCAAGTGGAGGCCAGTAAGAGTCAGCCCCATGGCTTTTGCGGGAACTTGTGGGGGGGAACTGGATGTCTTCCTAACAGGACTATTCAACCTGTGGAACACAAACTTGTGAGACTGCCTTCATCAGAATTCAAGGAGGTGGGAGGGTGATTTTCAGAGACAGGGTGAATATTGAGAGAGTCCACAAGCTAGATAGATCACCCCCTTTCTTAAAAAAAAAAAAAAAAAGAAAGAAAGAAAGAGAGAAAAGAACAGGCCGGGCGCGGTGGCTCAAGCCTGTAATCCCAGCACTTTGGGAGGCCGAGACGGGTGGATCACGAGGTCAGGAGATCGAGACCAATCCTGGCTAACACCGGTGAAACCCCGTCTCTACTAAAAATACAAAAAACTAACCGGGCGAGGTGGCGGGCGCCTGTAGTCCCAGCTACTCCGGAGGCTGAGGCAGGGAATGGGCGGGAACCCGGGAGGCGGAGCTTGCAGTGAGCTGAGATCAGGCCACTGCACTCCAGCCCGGGCTACAGAGCAAAACTCCGTCCAAAAAAAAAAAAAAAAAAAAAAAAAAAAGAGAGAGAAAAGAACCAAAAAATTGGTAAAAAAAACAATGACTACTAAGAAAATAATATGCAACTATTAAAAAAAGGCTAAACTTTATATAAAAACAAAAATTACATGTAAAAAAATCCATTTACCCTGGTACAGTTTAAGCTTCAGAGAAAGGGAAAATTCAGTCATCTTTTCTTCCCCCAGTGCCTCTTAAAAAAAGAAACTCCAAGCAGTTTGGGCTCATCCAACATTGAAAAAAAGCTGATTGACTTACACAGCAGTTTCTAGGCCATGAAAAAAATGAAGGCGGGAACACGTCTTCGTTATCCCTTCCAGTCTCTGCACAAAACTCAAGAACTGACATATGGCAGAGAATAAAAAAATAGCACTCCACGTGTGGAGGAGCACTTCATATCTAAAAAAATCTGGAACATTCCCTGCTACCCCTTTGAGGAACAAAAAAAAAGGATCCTTGGGGAAATCAAGTTCCGAGTAGGTTGACTAACTTAGCTGATTATGCCTAGAAACAGGAATTGAACCAAAAAAACTTCCCAGTTCCAAAGCCCTTGTCACCGTTTACCCAGTTCCAAAGCCCATGTCCCCAACCCCAACCACTATATATAAAAAAACAGTGAGTATTTTTAAGCCAGAGCATATCATGCTTCCACCACCAAGTTCAAAACCTGAGGTCCACAGGATTCTCTAAAAAAACTCTACACACCTCACTGCCCTCTCCTCTTCCTACAAAAAAACCATCTCCTTTCCATGCCACTGGCCTAGAGAAGGAAAAAAAACTGGTCCCTTTCCCCTCCTGCTGAAAGGCATTTAAAAAAAAAGACAAAGACATCTTATCTGTCCCTCAACAACTAAAAAAAGAAAACCCACTGCAGGCCCAGTGGCACAGCAGATAGGATGCCCTGGATTCACATAAACTTGGCCTGCAATTATCAAAAAAAACTCATCCCTGTGCCCTCTCAACCTCCAAAAAAAAAAAAAAAAAAACAAATAGTATCCACAAGAAGGAAAGCTAAGAGGACCAGCTAGTGGAGACTGAATCTTGCCCTTGGGTATCCAAAAAAACAGGAAGGGGAGGGCTAGCCAAGATCCTCATTTCAAAAAAACTGATCAAACAGTTCCAAATCTCTGTATTGACCCAAAAAAAATACTGGCAAATGTGCACAAGGAGGTACATATAAAAAAAAATTCCTGTGAAGTGGCCTTAATGGCCATCAGCAGGAAAAAAATGTTTGCAGCATTTCTTTTTTTGGGACAGGGTCTAAAAAAATTGCCCAGACTGCAATGCTATGGCATAAACACGGCTCAGTGAAACCTCCACTTCCCATAGGCTCAAGTGATTCTCAAAAAAAAGCCTCTCAAGTACCTGGGATTACAGGGATGCACAAAAAAACCTGGCTAATTTTTATATTTGTAGTAGACACAGTAAAAAAATTCGTTGGCCAGGCTGGTCTTGAACTCCTGACCTAAAAAAATCTGCCTGCCTTGGCCTCCCAAAGTGCTGGGATTAAAAAAATGAGCCACTGCACCTGGCACCTCTGCAACATATTAAAAAAAATAGAATACTATACTGTAACTAAAAAGACTATGTAAAAAAAATTAGGGATCAACAATGAAGTATTTTTTAAACTAAAAAAAAATGAAAAAAGCAAGCAATAAAATAATAAATATAGAAAAAAATTCATGTAAAAATAATCTATATATTTCTATAAATAAAAAAATGTAAGTCTATTCATACTCAAGGGCAGCAGGACGAGAGGAAGTAGTCAACAGGTGTAAGCCTTAGTTTAAATGTTAAAAAAAAAAAACATAGTTATGTATTATATACTTTTTTTTTAAAAAAAATGGAGTCTTGCTCTGTTGCCCAGGCTGGAGTGCAAAAAAATGATCCTGGCTCACCACAATCTCCACCTCCCAGGAAAAAAAAATTCTCCTGCCTCAGCCTCCCGAGTAGCTGGGAAAAAAAATACGCGCCACTGTGCCCAGCTAATTTTTGTATTTAAAAAAAATAGAGATGGGATTTGGCCATGTTGGCCAGCTGGAAAAAAACTCCTGACTTCAAGTGATCCGCCCACCTCAGCCTAAAAAAATGCTGAAATTACAGGTGTGAGTCACCGCACCCAGAAAAAAATGTTGTTGTTGTTGTTGTTGTTGTTTTGTTCGTTAAAAAAAAAGAAAAAAATAAATGCCAACAATGTCTACTCCAAAAAAAAATGCTGCCATGCTCCCGGCCCATCCATCTCAATCAAAAAAAGAAGATGATGCCATCCTGAGAAGGATTTTGCCCAAAAAAAAATGGAAACAAGGTCTAGGCATTTCCAAAGAGCTGAAAAAAACTCACTCACCACTTACCACGTGTCTCGGAAAGCAAAAAAAAGAATCCCTCTGGCTCCTAGCATCATCTCTGGCCTAAGTCCTCAACTTCTCACCACAGATTCCCTACAACTGTGAGAAAAAAACTCTAGCCAACTGGAAGCTGCTATTTTCTATAAAAAAAAAATAGCAAGTGACCCTGACTACACACCCATATTCGACTTTCATTTTCCATGGTGAGGATAGATGATGCCATCTATCCAAAAAAACACCCATCCACCCGTCCATCCACCCTACAACTGTTCACTAAGCAGCTGCCACATGCCCCATGTGCCAAGCACATAAAAAAAAACAAGGCCATCCTGACACTCAGACCAGTCTAGTGAAAAAAACTACGCACACTGACAGCCCCACCCCACCCCATCAAAAAAAAGAATTCTGAAAGTTCAGAATGACTTTCAGTCACCAATAACCAAAATGCAAAAGAACTGCTCTCAAATCCTAGCCCAAAAAAAGGCCAGTTGTGGAACTGGGGGAAATTTTTTCTGTAAAAAAAAAAGTTTTCTCATTTCTATGGCAGAGACAGTATCAAAAAAACAGATATCTGAGAAGACCCTTGTATCTCATGGGTAAAAAAAGAAGATTAAATTAATATACGCAAAGTGCTAAGTTAAAAAAATGGAACATATCATTCAACAAGTGATAGTTTCCTTAAAAAAATGGTATTAGAGTAAGAGCTGGCAGGTTTTTCTGTAACAGGCCATATAATAAATATTTTAGGCATGCGGGCCACACAAAAAAATCTACCACTGTGGTGCTGTTTACAAAAGACAGACAAAAAAATTTCAATAAAATATGGGCAAGGGTATTTCAAGAAAAAAAAACTTATGGACCTGAAATGTGAATGTCATAAAATTAAAAAAAACTCAAAATAATATTATTTTTAATTATTTTCAACAAAAAAAAATGTAGCAAAATATTCTTAGCTTGCTAGCTGTACAAAAAAAGCAGTGGGCCAGATTGGGTGGTCCCAGGCTATGGAAAAAAAACCCCTGTTTTACAGGAAATCCTATAAGCTATGGAGAGATCAAGAAATCCCAACTTAGCATGCTATGAAGTTTTCAAAAAAATAGAGAGCTTACTACAACTGCTGTTTGTTGCAGAAGTCTCCAGCACCGTGCTACTTGAAGAAAACAACAGAACATAAAAAAATACATATGCACGGATGCATATATGAGTATGTATTAAAAAAAACATACTTACATATATATGTATACATATGTATGTAAAAAAATTTTTCATATATATGAAATGTTAATAAACATTTATCCCTCCTAGGTCCGGGCGCAGTGGCTCATACCTGTAATCCAAAAAAATTGGGAGGCCAAGGCAGGTGGACTATCTGAGCTCAAAAAAATGAGACCAGCCTGGACAACATGGTGAAACCTTGTAAAAAAAAAAATACAAAATACTAGCAGGGAGTGGTGGTATGAAAAAAAAGTCCCAGCTGCTCCAGAGGCTGAGGCATGAGAAAAAAAAAAATTCAGGAGGTGGAGGTTGCAGTAAGCCAACATAAAAAAACTGTACTCCAGCCTGGGCGACAGAGCAAGACTCTAAAAAAAAAAAAAAAAAAAAAAATCCCTAAATTTTGTATTTAAAAAAAGTTTTATGATAGACATAACATCAGTGTAAAAGTAAAAAAAAAATTTAGGAAGGCATGTATAATAGGGGTGTATGTAAAAAAATTTCTCCCTGCAGTAAGAGTACCAGATCAAAAAGAGTTGAAACGAGCTCTCCATGCCTCCTTTCAGAAACAGGACACATAACTGTAACAAAAAGCAAATAATAACCTGAATCTAACAAAAAAAAGCATCACACAAATCCAAAGTGAGGGAGATTCCAAAAAAAAAAGTGGCCTGTACTCTTGAAGGGGCAGGGCCATGAAAGAGAAAGTGCCTGATTTAAGAAGACTTTTTAAACCGACAAAAAAACCCAATGTAATGTGTGATCATGGATTTGGATCTTAAAAAAAAAAAAAAGTTTAAAAAAAAAAAAAAAAGACCAGCAAAAAAAGCTCATGCCTGGAATCCCAACACTTTGTGAGGCCATATGGTGGGAGGATCACTTAAGCCCAGAAGTCTGAGACCAGCCTGGGCAACACAGCAAGGCCATCTCTACAAACACAAATTTTAAAAACTAGTTGGGCATGGTGGTGTGCACCTGTAGTCCTAACTACTCAAGAGGCTGAGGTGGGAGGATTGCTTGAGCCAAGGTGGTTGAGGCTGCAGTGAGCTATGATTGTGCCACTGTACTCCAGTGTCAATGACAAAGTAAGACCCTGTCTCAAAAAAGAACATAAAATAAAAAACTTTATTGTTTCCTATAAAAGAATAAAAAAAAAC